ATTCGATAAATATTTCAAAATAAAGTGGGGCGTTACACCAGTTTAATCGCGTAGATAAGTCCAAGCATTTTAGCATATAATTAAATACTCTGAGCATTATACTTAGCATTATTTTGCTTAAATATTTATGTAGCCTAAGGAGAGTCGAGCCTCCGACCGCTACTCCAGCTTCCGCACTTGCATACCAGATTTCAAGTTTTTCAGGTGGGGGTCATGTACTGGATGTCACATCATAGATAATATCTGTACCATGGCAGAGGTATGTTTGAGACAGTTTAGTTCCGGGTTGGGTGGCCAAGGCCTTTATACCCACCTGATGACCGTTGGGAGGGGCGAGGCCCTTTATACCCCATCGGCGTTTGCACACGAGCGGCTACGGCCGAGGGTCTTTTGACCACAGATCAGAACAGACATCAGAGATCAGTTTACAGTTTCAGCTCTTATATATTTATGTTTCATGATACATTATTATAGATGATGTTTTGTTCAGTAATGGTCTTTGCAGAGCATAGTGGTTTGCTCACGCCCCCATTATGTTTTTCAGGAGGCGGAGTCGAGCGTGTCGGATGAGCACAGATGTGGCGCAGCGTGGTCATGAGAGTCGAACATATTTTACCAGCATTTTTATGTCCTAGATTTATGATCATGTGTATTTTATTCAGTTTATGTACGCATGTTATGTATTCGTATTTCGGATGCTTCCGCCAGCGAGTTTTTCTAGACAGTGCGAGACAGTACAGACTATGCATGTATAATTCCATAATCCGCGAGCGGACAGTCTGGTTGCATGTTTTTATTATGTCTGTGGGCAAGCCCGAGTTCAGTTTAAGTTTTTATCTGCCACATCCTGCAGTAAGTCAGTATTTTCGAAAACCCAGCTCGCACGTTCTTTCGAAAATAAAAACGAAAATTTTACTCTGATTTTTCAAAGCTAGTAGTAAGGCGGGGTGTGACAATTTCTTAAATCAAAGTGGGGCGTTACAGTTTGGTATCAGAGCCAGTCTGCGTTTCTGTAGACTGGTATTTGTGAATTATGTGAATTGTTTGCATAATATGTATTTGACCACTCGCTTCCGTCGTGTCGCGCCAACTCAGGTATGAATATTTTAGTAAATTTTGAATTGCTTATGTGAAATATTATGATATTATGATATGTAAACCGGGGCTTAGGAATTTATCCTCCTACTTTTAAACGTTCTGGAACTCTAGATGAGTGGCGAACCTTAGTTGTATGAACTTGAACTCTAGCGATATAGAGTTAAGTTCTAACTTGAGGTTTTGTTTGTTTAGAAATTTGATATGGTGTTATCGAGCTGAGTTCTGTGTATAACAGTCCTCTCGATATATTTTGGTGTCTTCGGAAGAGGACCATTCGTGAGCCATCTCGGAAGGAGAAGGCTTAAACGAAGGCGAAGCAGTCGTGCTTCCTTTCTTAAATTCTTGTCTTCTTGTATACTCTTGCAAACCTTTTTCCCATTCACATGGCAAACAATTTGAAAGTGTGATTGAGGCTTCTTTTTGTTATCCAATTTTCGCATTTGGAGGATTTCGCTTGATCTTCCTCTAATTTTGATTCGCTGTGTAAACTATTTTAAGCTTCCCAACTTTAAAACTCTCTTTCTTGAAGTTTAGCTAATTCTGGTTTATCTTATGTTCGGAGTTGACTTTGTTTTGAAAAACCTAATTTCAAGTGAGAATAAGCATCTCTTTATTTCTGCTTATCTTTATTCTCTTGCGAAGTATGAGAGTTTCGTTCGAATGTCATTGCTAAATATCATGAAGACTCGAAAAAAAAAAATTCGATCGCCACTTTTGTGAATAACCTAACCTCGAGGGGGACAATAATTGTTCACGCTCGGCATCGAGAAACGCACGGGAGCAGAAGCCAGCACAATTCGGTTCGATAAGAAGATGGAGTGTTTTCCACCTTAAAAGAATATGCAGAAGTCTTTTTGAGGATAGTCGAGTCAGAAGCAAGCACATCGCGTAGTGCTGAACCGTCCTTAATCTGAATCTTGTTCATCGTAGAAATTTTTGTTCTTTTCCTCCTTTCGAAATCCCGGGAGGAACTTCGCGTTCAAATTTCAAGTGAGAAGATTGGGAAGTGAGTTTCGCTCGTTTAGGGCTGCTGACACGATTAGCTACCCGATGAAGAGCTGACGTGTCGGCCGACGCTGTTAGTCGGAAGAGCCGAGGCGAGCTATCTGTCTAATGTCTCGGCAGAAGCCGCTGACTTAGGGAGAATCGACATGAGAGTTCTTTTGAGATTTCGCATATCGTTAGACCTGTGGCGTATTGCGTTTTGTTATTTTAGAAAGTTGGTGGACTTGGAACTCGAACTTATACTTTCTATTTTCGGAAACCCTTGGACTTTGAAATTGTGGAATACCTGAAATATATATTGTCTTGTCGACCCCAAAATTTTCGAAATTTGGTAAGACCATTCCGTTTTGGTAGCCTTGAATTGTAACTTCTTGTGAAAACCTGGACCAAACGCCGACCGTGACTGGGTGTAGCCACGCGAAGTGGTGGCCGAGCACGCATGACCGTGCTGAGAGACGGAAGGCTTGCGCGCGGCCGACCGTTGACTCGCATGCGAACTGCAACCGCCATCACCGAACGCACAAACTCCCCAGGCCAGCGTATGCGGCCAAACCTCGACCTTACAGCTGGTCTCCGAGTAGGTGGGTACGCACGCGTCCCAGCGCCCCGCTTATGCAGCGCCAGCGAGCGTGCCGCCTCTTGGGTGACAGTACACTAACCCCGAACCTTCGATTCATTTCGTTGATTGACCAGTTTTGCTGAGCTATTTATGTTACCCCGAACCTTGAACCGAGAGTTCCAAGTTTCACTAAAATGTGTATAAATCCTTAATCGATGATTTCTGATTAAAGAGTGTAGTCGATGAGTCCATATGCTTTACTTGAGAGTTTCTCAAGTCGGCAAATTGGGAATGTCATGTTGCTTTGGGTCAAGCCTTATGTTTGTGCATGAGTGTATGAGCATGTTGGTGTCGTGCTGTATGTATGTGATACCGTGTTGTGGTCTCGGATGGAGACACACGATCTGTGATGAAATCGTGAGCAAGTTATCAGTGTGACTCGGATATGAGACTGAAACTTGGCGTCACGTGTCACCTTGATGGTGAGGTAAACCGGAGTACGCTGACAATACACCGAACGACCTGCCGAGGTCTTGTGTGTTGTTAGGTACGAAGCAAGACGTTGATACTCATGAGTATAGGCTAAACCGAACTGGGTCCTTTGCAAGAAGATGTACGCCTGAGCTCGGGCAGGACTGATCACCCTCCCAAGCAAGAAGGTAAACATATGAGCATAGGGCGAGTTGGATTGGTTCATGTATGTGAGTACATGCCTATCGAGTATTAGGCGATAAGACTTATGGGAACGAAATCGAGTTCTGGAGGGTGATGCCCGGACCTCGTGATTGGAAATTTCCTCGTTCGAGTCTGTCGTTTCCTTTTTGATGTGTGTTTTTTTTTTTCGCATTTCCGAGGACGGAAATATTTGAAGGAGGATAGGTTGTAATGCCCCGTTTGACTATTGAATATTTGGGAATTATTTATCATTATTTATTATTATGATTATTATTATTTATCTTTATTTGTTGAATACTAAATATTATTAAATGTCTAAAATGATTATTTGTCAATTTGCGATTAAATGTCTAATTGTCTAAATGATATTTATTTGTCAAATTGTAATTAAATGCTTAAATGTTTACTTATAATGTGTGTATTTGTATTATTATTAATATTATTATGTGATATTTAATTTTGTGTATTATTATATAAATAAAATCAGGTTTATTTATTTTATCGTGCGATTTAATTTTCGAACCGAACCGAATTAATGCTACGTCTAGTCGGGCCCGAGAGCCGAATCGTTTCTTTGAGCCTCGCCCGAACCGGACCCTCATGCCGAACCCGATCCGTATTCCCGTTAGTGCTCGTGTGGGTGTATTTCTTGTACATCAAGAGTTTTATTTAACCTAGTATATATATTTTATCCTCTCGCTCGATCAGAGAAACTCAACCCCGCAGCTTTCTTTTATTTTGATTTGTTTCTCCTCCTTCACAAACGCCCGCAGTCAGAATCTCTTCCTCTCGCACGATCAAATCTCACGCTCATCTCGCTCTCTCGATCTTAATCGTTCCCCCGCAGACACGCAGCCGGTCCCTGTTACCCCAAAAGCCGTCAACTTGTGTTGAATGGGAGATAGAGTTCGCCTCAGCCATAGTTGGGCCCAGCCGCAACAGCCTCCGGCGCCACGCTAGCAGACGTACGCCTCCATCTCTGCCATCGTTGGGAGTCCTCACAACCCCTTTCGCCGACGTTCTCGAGCATCTCCGTCAAAACCGAGTCAGCCGGCCATCGATTCAACAAACAAATGAGCATACGCAGCAGCTGCCAACATTTGCAGCAACCTCGAGGCCTTTTGGCCGCTGATTCACGCAAAAGCCGAGAAGACGCAAATTCTCCTCGCCTGCGAATCCATAGCCGCTGCCGCCAGCCGCGGTTGTGCAGCAACTCCCGAACAGCCAGCCATCGCCGAGGAGCTTCCTCCCGCGAGCCGCCACCGAGTGCTTTCAGTCGAGGTCCACCGCGCGTGAGACCAAATTATTGAGCCTCTGTCCACGTCCAGCCATGGCGAGCTTCAACCGCCGTTGAATGAGCCATTTAGGGCGCCGCTGCTCGTCGAAACCATTCTGTAGTTGCCGCGCCGGTCCCCGCCGCTCCAATCACCGCCCGCTGCAGACGAGCCTCTCGGTGGGAGGTAATCCGCCGCCGTGAACAAGCCGTTCGCCGAGCCCAGGGCCGCCATCTCCGCTACTCACATCCGTCGAGATTGATGTTGCGCGGAATAGTGAATGGAGAAATTGGGATTTGCTTTTGGATCTGCAATTTTGAAGGAGCAGATTAGAAAAGAGACGACGGGAAATAAAAAGGAAAAAGGAAAAAGAAAAAATAGAAAAGAAAATGGTTTTGGGACTTAGCATTTTGCTTTTTGCTTTGGAGAATTTGGGCCTATTGAAGGATTGGGCCTTGGAATATTTGGGATACAAGTGGATTTTGGGACCAAGGAGAACAAATAGAAATGAACACAGTCAAAAGCACGATCGAGATTCCGCCGAGGAGCCTTGCCGTTCCTCCAATTGGAGTTCTCGTGATCTCTCCTTGGAGTACGGTAATGGGTGGCTATTCCTCGTCTGTTCCATTTTTGTTCGATTCCCGAGAACAGTACAAGGCTCGACCCATCTCGTTTAATCTTATATATCGGTTATGTTGTGTGTACGTGTTGGCGAATGTGATTACGAGTATATATATTCAAATGCTTGTGATATTATTTTATGTGTCGAATATGAAATTGTGCATTGACTAGCCTTTCGATTTTGAAAAATCGAACGAGGCCTCATCAACACGTGAATTGGTCGTTGTGGGTTGGAACTCGTATTATCCTTAGTCTTATAGCGAAGACTTCGGATGGATTTGTCGTAAAATGAGTCGGTTATGAATTAATGAAATTGTCTAATCGCTGTTTTGGCAGATAAATTATGATAAATTTTGTGATGCTCGTATTACTGTGAAATTTTGTGTGCTCGTCCCTCAGCTGGAAATACATGTTGTGTAAAAAATTTCGAATTAAAATCTTAAGTATAGCTATTTTTAATAATTGTATGAAATTTTGAGCAGAATCTTGTTAAACGCATATTTAATTGAGTTGTGCTCCAAAACTCATGAAATTTGAGCATGTTGTCTTTCTGTGTGTTGTATAGGTTTTGTAAAATAGTTAGAATATTTGGACTTTCGTTTGCTATATTTAAAAATTATTTGATGAATTATGCAGATTCGTAATTTAATTTTCATAAATTGGTCTGTTCTGCTAAATTGCTGAAAAATTATAAATGGGATAATTTTGTGATGAGTTTCAGCATATAAAAAGATGGGATTTATTTGGGTTCATTTTGGTTCAGCCTTATTGAAAATTTGAAATCAGCAGGAACGAGTTTTAATTTTTAGAATTCGGATACTTGATGTTAATGGATGAAAATTTTATATGTTGCTGTTCTAATATTGTTACTGCTTGTGTAAAATTTTCATGGCTAAATTCATT